TTTTTACTTGAAATCTTTTTTGAATATTCTTTTTTAGGTTCGAATTAAATAAACAAAATTCAAGTTTTTGAAATAATCAAAACCTTCTACAAAATTTGTTATTTACAGCCACATATTGTGCTTTAAGAAAAGATTATGGGTTACATTATCTTCCAAGTACAGGTATGTTAATGTTGTAGTTTTTGGAGTTTTGAGAATCCTTCTTCTTCCAAAACGACGATAGAACGACTGAAAAACCAACATTCGTCACGTTGTGGCTAAGATACCGTCCATTATGTGTTAAAATGCTTACAACATCTTCGTGTGGAGGTCTTTTAAATGATGTAGTGTTGAACACATAATGCCAACATTCAAACTTTATAATAATTGAAATCACTGCATAAAAATGGGACAGCGTTAAATTTTCTGAAATACGCAAGCAACGCTAAATATCCTATATTGAAGCAGAAGGACTATAGACATCAATAGTGTCAATAATTGAGAAATAGAAGAAATGATTGTACGTGGTTTGCGATGGTGTGCAAAAAAATAAATACTGTTTTTTTTCCTTTGATATTCTCTTTGCAGCTAAATACAACAAATTTAAGTAAGTTGAGGGAAATGTGCATGTGTGAAGTGTGTCCTTAAACGGATTATTTGAGAGGGAATCAGAGAAAGAGTGCCAAAGTGGTGTAGTTTGGGCATAGGGATTTTACTTACGTTTATTTTTGAAACAATGAAATGTTTATATTGTACTTATTTTTAGTCATTTGTCTATTACATTTAATCCAAAATATATTGAAAACAAATGTTAATACTCTTTTAAAAATGCTTGAATGAAACATTTCTTATATTTTTAACTCGAATAAAGTACAAATTAAGGAACTCCTCTGTATATGCTATAATTGGCTAATATATTCGAAATAAAGAATACTATTTAAAGATTATATCATGGTAAAAAACAGGAGATAGTTTAATGGTAGGGGATGATGATACCAAGCAACGGCTTTAACATGGCGAAGCCCAGGCTTATCTTGGTCCCTCTTTCATCTCAATTGTGGACACTGACCTCCCCGCGGTGCCACCTGGGGAGCTATTCTCATCACCCGATGAAATAGTGAGCTAACATGTTCCGCGAGTTCACCCATAAGAACTATAAAAAAATTGGTTGATGCGTCGGATTAGTTGCCCACCCTCGGAAAACCCAACCTACTATGAAAAAGCAAAGAAAAAGAAAACCAAACCCCCCTAATGTTGACGACCCCCGCAAACGTATAAAGGACCACGATCTGCGAATCTGCACTTGGAATGTGCGCACGTTGTACAGAACAGGGGCAGTGTTCGCTTTGGCGTATATACTCAAGAAGTACAAAGCCGATATTATTGCCTTACAGGAAATGCGATGGAAAGGGACAGGCATAAGTAAATCAGACGATTACGCCCTGTATTATAGCTGCCATGAAACGAGACATGAATTTGGCTGCGGATTTATGGTTAACAGGAGAATAAAAGACCTTGTCTCCAGATTCACTCCAGTAGATGAGCGAATTGCTATAATCCGTATAAAAGCGAAGTTCTTTTACATCAGTCTAATTTGCGCCCATGCTCCGACCGAAGAAAAAGATGAACAGACCAAAGACATATTTTACGAGCACCTAGAAACAGCCTATGACCGTTGCCCTGGCCATGACATTAAAATTCTGCTAGGAGATTTTAATGCAAAAATCGGAAGGGAAAATATCTTTGGCCCCACCGTCGGAAAATTCAGCCTTCATGAAGAAACATCCGACAACGGCATGAGGTTGATTGACTTCGCGGCAGCAAAAAACATGGTAGTTAGCAGCACCAGATTCAAGCATCTCGATATACACAAGGCCACCTGGATTTCTCCTGATCAAGTAACGAGAAATCAAATTGATCATGTTGTGATAGACGGAAGGCATTCATCCAGTGTTTTAGACGTCCGATCGATCCGAGGAGCGAATATCGATTCGGACCATTACCTTGTGGCAGCCAAGGTACGCACCCATCTTAATGTTGCAGCAAAGGTGCGATCTAATACAACACGTAAACTCGACGTCGAAAAGCTGCAAACACAACAGGTAGCCGAGGCCTACTCCGCTCAACTTACCCATCTGCTTGAAGAAAGCACTTCTTGTCCCGATAATAGTATAGAAGCACAATGGCATAGAATTGCCCACTCCCTAAAACACCAAACCGAAGGCTTTAGTGCAGGCACATCCTCCTGTAGAGATGAAGAAGGAAACCTGGTGACAGATACAAACAGCGTGTTGAGGATCTGGAAGGAGCACTTCGAAAAGCTACTAGTATCAAATAGTGGCGATGAAGAATATACCCCAGAACCAATAAGAGATGATGGTATATAGTGTATACTACCTAGCCAAGATGAGGTCATAAAAGCCCAATGATTGGAACCTCAGCATCCTGTGTCCCGTGCACAAAAAAGGAGACAAGACGATATGTGCCAACTATAGAGGAATAAGTCTCCTTCCCATCGCATATAAAGTGCTATCCAGTGTGCTGTGTGAACGTTTGAAGCCAATGGTCAATGACATCATCGGACCATACCAATGCGGCTTCAGACCTGGCAAATCCACCATTGACCAGATTTTCACTCTGCGCCAAATCCTGGAAAAGACCCATGAAAAACACATCGACACATACCACCTATTTGTCGACTATAAAGCCGCATTCGACAGCCCTATCCGTTCAGAGGTGTTTAAAGCCATGTCTGCGTTCGGCATTCCTGCAAAATTAATACGGCTATGCAGGATAACTTTAAGTGGCACAAGGTCAGCCGTTAAAGTAGGAAAGGACCTATCGGAGCCCTTCAATACCGAACGAGGATTCAGACAAGGTGACAGTTTGTCGTGTGATCTTTTTAACATCCTACTGGAAAAGGTCATACGAGACGCAAAGGGGAACAGAAATGGCACTCTGTACACCAAACAACATCAGTTACTCGCCTACGCCGATGACATCGATATAATGGGTCGAACATTGCGAGCGGTAACAGCCACCTTTGAACAAATTGAAAAGGAGTCTGCCAAAGTGGGTCTGGAAGTAAACGGCGAGAAGACCAAGCTGATGGTATCAACGCGCAAGACGTCCAGTAGACTCGGACCAACTGTGGAACTTGAGAACTACAGCTTCGAGGTAGTTAAAGACTTTATATACCTTGGTACCGCCATAAATAAAACGAATAATATCAGTTTTGAAATTCGGAGAAGGTTTGTGATGGCCAACAGATGCTACTATGGTCTAAGTAAGCAGTTTAGAAACAAGGCCACCTCTCGCCAGACCAAACTCACACTTTACAGGACGCTGATACTACCCGTGCTATTATATGGATCAGAAGCATGGGTACTTGCGCAAGCAGATGAGGCAGCGCTTGGGGTGTTTGAGAGAAAAATTCTCCGAAAGATCTACGGGCCGATCTGCGTCGACGGTGAATATCGGCGTCGAATGAACCACGAGCTCTACAATTTATACGCGGACATCGACATAGTCAGTCGTATTGAGCTGCAGCGACTACGGTGGCTAGGCCATTTTGTTCGGATGAATGGAGATGCCCCAGCTCAAAAGGCATATAAAAATGAGCCTACTGATGGTTCCCGTAGATGGGGAAGGCCACGAATTAGATGGAAAGACCAAGTAGAAAACAACATCTTGGAACGTGGTCTTCCAAATTGGTGGACTTGCGCACAAGACCGACGCGCTGGGAAATCTTATTTAAGCTCGGCTTATGGAACAACCGTTCTGTAACAAGCCGGCTAAGTAAAGTAAGTAAGTTTAATGATAACTGCTGAATACAATATGTTGTTTTTGTGCACCTGTGCACAATATCCCAATATGTATATATGCATCTAATGTTTTGAAAAATAAAATATTTTAAATTCAGTTGTAATTGAGATTAAATATCACTGTAATCATATTTCCATGCCTACATTCTAAAAAAAAATACATATCATTAATTATACTATTAATCTGATATTGGCATAACCTTTACTTTTAAAGTAATTTAAATTATATAAAATTATTTTTTTTTCGAAATTTCCCAAATTTTAGTTATTATTTAAGTTATTTTGGTTTAAATACTTATGTTGCGAAATTCACTAACATTGTGTTACACGTTATTTTTTAGCTAATAACGGCATAGGTAGGTAACAAATCCCTGCTGATCGGAATGAAACTAAATACAGGATATCGCACTATCGTTTTATATGTAGATGACGGAGTAATAGAAAATAATAAACGAAATAAATTGCTGTTAATGAAAGTATAAACGTTTATTTGAAAATTAGAATTGTGACAATAAGTTATGTTAAATATAAATGTAAGTAAAGCCTATTAGAAATGTCCACATAAATATTCAATTACTATGGAGTTGAAGTTAGTATTGTATCATTTAATTATTTGTACAATATATATTTAAACGTGATATGAGAAATGGCGATAACGAGTACCGCCAGGCAAAACGCCAGATGTGGTGGATGAATAACTGTATCCACCTGGCCCCCCTCCGAGTGTACTTGAACGTTCAGTGGTGTAGTTATATCCGCCTGGGCCGCTACGAGATGTAGTTTCGTATTTAGATTCATAACGTTCTGGTCTGCTATAAGGATTGCTGGAATCATAATTGGATTTTTCCACTGAAGATTTGTATGAGTATGAATAGTCACTGGAACCACGGGACCGATGAGTGCCAGGTGCAGCGCTGACCAAATCATAGCGTGGAGTCTGCGAATTTGTGAGTAAAATTGTCAGTAAATGTACACCATACTTAAATTTTTACATAAACATAATAGACAGCTTTATGTCGAAATATACATCTATTATCCCATATAATTCCGTTTTATCGCCATGTAATTGAAACAGGTTTGAATTTACATTGGTTATGTGAATTATAAATGGCTTAGTGGACTTAGGCTAACTTCAGTTTAAAATGAAATCATCACAACAGATATTAGTTCGCAAGCAAGCGCATTGTGAATACAATTTTAGTATATGTATCGTGTAAACATTGCGCCAGATTTTTCGTTGCGACAAGTTTCTCGCCGAACAGGAAGAGATTGAGAAACAGTCCGATGGACTCTTGGTAAAACGGTATCTAAACTATCGTTCGATGTACGAGCAGCTGTATTACCACCAGCCTCTACTGTGTCAATGTGCATTCGTACCATATTCAGAATGCGACTCCGGTTTTTATCGCGAGCAGACACATAAGGTTGGATCGGTTCCTCCAATTTCGTATAATTGGGCTTTATAGCTGCTCGGTTGATTGGATCCAATATTGAACTCTGTTGTTTTTTGTGCTCGTACCCATTGCGACCAAAAGCCGTTACTGGGTCCGAAATTAATGATGGCCTTGGAACAAACGGACACTTTTCCCAGTCAATAGTGGTTGGAGTATATCTCTGCAATGCCCATACATGTTTAAATTTAGAATTTTTAAAAAATACTTTTTATAAGAGTTGTGCATACATATGTACATTCATGTTGATAGAAATAAACCAGTTTTTAGAACACCATAGCATAACTCGTATATTTACAAGCGTTTGAAGCCATTTATTCTCAGGCGCTTCGCCACGTTCTAATACTATATAGTTAGGGGAAATTGTAAATTATGATCTCAAAAAGAATTGTACAAGTGGCAATTGGCTATTAGAGTTGTGCGTTTTGTTAATTGAATACAAATACTGTGGGATCACGATTAATGAATAAGTTTATCTGATATATCCACCTGATAACTATGTTTTTCAAGAATGCGACCGGCATATAAGAATAATCAGAAAGGATTATGAAATGCGAAATCAAAATTTTAAATTTTACTTAAAATTTTACTTAGACTTAACTTAATTCAACTTGGTATTTTATTAAAAAAATATGTGCCTATACACGTTATGCGGTCCTTGGAAAATATTACGAATTATTACAAGCATGAAGGGTGTAATAAAAAACAAGTTATGTGGGTTACGCTTTATTATGCCGTTTGGTTTTTCAAAATTCATTAATTTGTCAATAGGTTATACCAAAATACTTCAAGTATTGTGGCGTTTGGACCCTATATCTGGACATGAGGGCACACATGTACGTAATTGCTGTTTATTGTAATCGCTGTAAGTCTTAGATTTACGAAATCCACTCGGTCTCAAATGTCAATTCTATATAAACAAATATAATCCACTGGATTTGCGAACTAAACGCGCACCATCGCAAAAAGGGTTTGTTTGGCCATATTGTTCAACGTTGTATCGTTCAACGTTTAGTTGAAATCAAATTTTATCTTATTTGTTATTTTACCTGAAGTTTTAGATATTCTGGTCTGGTGTTTTCATACAAATAAGTTTAATCATTTTTAAGTAACATAGTCCAAGACTCCTTACAAACCAATTAATGCAATCCTTTACACACCCAATTGGATTGTACCAATGAACCATTCGAAATGTTTTCAAAATGCTGTTCCATCGTCTTGAGTATTTTATTAAACAATGCAGAAAATAATCCATCATCATTAACATTTTAGCTGTCAAATACGTATGTCGATTCATATTATCATAATATATGTAAGCTACATATATCAGTTACATTAATAATCGTATGTCAAATGCACTTGACTGGAGCAACTGTTAGCTTATACGTCGTAATCATAATTCACATATATAAACTTTTCATAAATTATATATGGTTTATTTTGAGATATTTAAAGGTTTGGTTTGTTTTGTGTCAAAAATATTGTTAAGTGATATCAATTTTGTTTGTGGATTTGTGTCCTTGAACATGATAGAATGTTTAACGTAATATGTTTTGTAAACATCGCTTTATATATTTTTATTATGTATTAATAGTACGAAATCTCGTATTTCAATGTTAATAAACATACAGTATAATACAATTAAAACTCTTAATATCATATTATTTGAGTTAAAAACCTATAAAAAGATCAACGTTTTTAAAAAGAAGGCAGACAAAACTTCAAGCTAAATATTAAATATAATCGAAAAATGTATTATTTCTTAAAGAGTTTTCATATAATTTTTGACTAGATCACACAACGGTTCTAATGAAATTAGTGTCAATTAATTTTGATAACTGAATATAATCTGGAAAAAAGTTAAATGTTAATTTCTGTCATTCTATGTTCATGATAAGTTATGCACGTTGAGAAATTATTGTATTGATACAATTGACATAAAAGTGAACAATCTAGTACCCATCCATAATCTTCGCATGACTTTGTTATACGAAGGTATATAAAAATTAAAAAAAGTAAACACATAAAAATATATAGGCTATGGCATGGAGGCGTTGAATCATCGTGAGATACATTTTTTCGTTGTTATTTACTGAACGTCGAATACTTAACTTCCAAAAAAGATATTAATAGGCATAAAATGCAAATGCGCGCGCATCTTACATTACCTAATGAATAAGAGCGTATTGATGTATTTATGAATATAAATACATACATATGTATATATTATAATACTGATGTACTGCCAAATATATTTGTGTAAATAAATTCTCGCTTCGAAAATTGCGAAAAATGCTTAAACAAAAATGTGTTCATCCGACTAAATTCCAGGTGTCAGAATATAATAACAGCGTTGTTTGAGTTTAGATATAAATGCTCATAATGGAAAATATGAAAATGTGCTAACAAAATGATGCACACACATGGCTCATATTCGCTTTTACAAGTGTGTATGAAATATATAATGCTTTGCAATACAGTTTGATTGTTTTCTCTTTCTATTCGTATAAGCAAACAGAAATGATGTAAGAAATGTATTTTTATAAATAAATGTATTAGGTATGCATAAGCATCAAACAAATGTTTTGTGAACTGTTTGGCCTTGGGCTTATTTTAATGACATTATGTTCCAATAATAGATTCAAATACTTTTGTTTATAGAATAAAAATAGCTTTTTCAAATTTATGATTATTTACGCATTTCTATATAAAATAGCATCTGTTTAATAATTATGTTTATCATATATGAATTTCTTTACTTTCAATGAAAATGATCTAGGATAAAAATGGGATAATGATCTACTAATAAACCTATAATACATTTACGGATGTATATATATATATATATATATATATATATATATATATATATAATATATATATATATATATATATATATATATCTTTCAACTCCCACCCTTACTTTTTCAATCTCATAGAATTTTCTAAAGTAGGCGACATTTTCGACGACATTTATTGTAAACAGATTTTAGAATTTATTTGTTTGTTATCATGGTATAATTATACAAGGCAGTCACATGAGACGATTCCATGAGACGACTCCATTTTTTCATAATTTTACTTTTGATACTTTCTGCTTTCAAAATTTAAATGAATTTAACCTACGCACAACTTGTGTTCAGTGGCAAAAATGATCAAATTATTAATATTGTTTAACATTTTGAAGTTCCTGCCTCTTTAATCTATAAATATAATTTGTAACGTCTATAGCAATATCTTGAGAATATTTATATGCAGTTATATAAAGATTTGTCCATCAAAAAATTCATAAAAGCTTACGAAAACAAACATTTTTAATTTGTAAAAAAATATATTAATCGAAATTTTATGGAATTTATTTTTCATATTATTTTAAACTGATAGATGGATTACAATTAACAATTTCTCATATGAGACTACCTTCCATAATTTGCCATGGTTTGTTATAAAATAGCTAGGACATAGACAAGATATTAAAATTGACAAAAAGTTTTGATCCGTTCATGCACGTGTGATGCAAATGTATTATGACAATACGATACCAATTTTAATTGAGATAAAATGTCTAGTAAAGTGTGTATATTCAAACTTGTTTCAATTCCGATCTGGGAGATTTTTATATATATATATAGATTAAAAGCGTTTGCAGATGTTACAAAAATAACGGAAATTTGTGTTGAAATCCTAAATTACATTTTCACATTTGAAAATAATATCACACATTGTAATGCTTATATTGGAATGTACTTTATATGGTTAAGCTATACATCAAAAGATCAATGTTTGGGATTCCAGCACAGATTTCTTCCAGATTTTTGTAACAACACAGTAATCAAGCAATGGATTAATGCCATACTACACAATAATTTCAACGGTTTATATCTTTCTCAATTATTGAATAATTAATGTATACTCTTTATAATATTTCCTTGGCTGGCAATATAGTTTATTAAAGCTGAATAGATAGATACTTACCGAAACAGTGTATGAGGATACAACTGGCCTGGAACTATATGTTCTGCGGGTAGTAAATCCACTTTCGTAAACCATTTTCGTTCGTTATAATTATTATTTAATTAATTAGTGCAATTGATCCAATTTGATTTGAAGTATCTACTGATGTAATTTAGAATTGTTTCGCTCGTCTCGTGTGTGCTCTACGCCCGTTCGATTTATTCTGAATAAGCCGTTGGCAATGGAAACGCTTTTAAATTTCTTGTTGTCATAATATTTTGTGATGAGGACTACTATTGAGAGAGTCTCTCATTGCTAAATTATTTTTGGAATAACACAAAACATTTCCTCTGTGATTATACGACTTTTCATCTCATTGAACAAAATGAGTTTCATACATATGAATCTAGCGTGGGAGTGAATCAAAACATTTTAACTGAACACTCTTTCTCATTTCCTTTTTTGCTCTCAAATTTGTTGATATAATAAACAAACATTAAGAAATTGTGGATATCGTTGAGTGGTTTTTCATTTATTCGATAAAGGTCAATTGCAATTTTTGTAATCTTATTGGAATGTATCAATGTTAATATAAAACTATTTAATATTTGGGGGGGACATTTCACAATTTATAACCCTTTAAACATTATTTGAATTTGTACTTCCTGTTGCAAGGAATCTAAAAATGTTTTTAAAATAATGCTATGATTAGGTTGCTTACATATATCAGAGTTCAATATTTTATCAATTTCATAACAACTTTTTAATTGAAATTGTCTCGAATTTGAGTGTTTTCTCATATATACTTTGCATAAATAAGTTTATATCCCACTGGATTTAAAGGTTTAGCATATATCATTTGCAAGAAATCATTAAAATATACATTATTCATTTTGGCATCATCATATAAATAGTTGTTCTCCTTGTTATAGTTTATTTTTGACCTTTCGACTTTCTTTTTTATATTTCAGGTCATTGTCATCATAGTCATCTTTAGGCCATTGAAAATTATAAAGATTTTGTTTTCTTTATGTATGTTTTTGACAGTATATTTAGTTCATTTATTTTAAGGTGTTTTGACCGGCCTAATTGTTCAATACTTTTATGGAATAAATAAAACTAATTTATTTCATTTTTTACTCAACGCTTCGTTATCATTTCCAATTTCTTCAGGAGTATTATCGAATAATTTTTCAATATATTTCCCATAGTATTATCATTGATATTAAAAAAATGGACATCACAACACAATTTTTTTATAATGCCAAAAATAAAAATATTTATAAATAAAAAATATTGAAGCATAAAACTTAAATCTTAATCGTAGAACTGTATTTTTATATTATTGCTTTTGATTTTTTTTATTCGTCGATGATTATGATCAGGGATTGGCTTAATTACATAAATATATAACAAAATTATATTTTATGCTTATTTTAATACTATTCGATTTCCACTCATTGTCTTGCTCAACTGACCCTTTTATACTGACCCTATTTTCCGCAGGGATATTTGTAATGTGTCTTTGTATATGCCAAAAGGTATATGTTGAATTTGTCACCATTGGACTTGATTTTATACACTAAATTTGTCTGACTGAACTATTTTTCTCTTATAATGTTTATTGCCAGTTTTGCAGGTACACTGGGAAATAGTGATATTACGTCAAAAGATATTAACACTTCAATTTATATTCTGGATTTTAATTCAACCCTTTATATTATTTTTTGATTCTTTGGTCTAATTATTGCCGTATACGTTCAATTCAATATATAGGCTAGTTAATAAATAAATATATCGGTCTCACAGGGAATTTTGCGAAGCTCATATCTTTTTGGAGGCACTAAAGTGTGGTTTGTTGATTAATTCATCTCGGTTTCGTTGATTATGTTTAATTCGAAAAGTTTTATAACTTATTTATTGCACCTATCCTGTTGTTGGATACTACCTAATTCGACTATAATAAGTATACATTTCCATAAGAATTAGATTCATTTTTTCTTAAAAATAACTATATATGGTGAAAATATTGGAATATTGAATTCGAGAGTCAAAATTTTCATTTGTAATTAGAACAGATATTGATCTCAGCCGTTTAATACAATGCTATATTTAAAAAAGAATCAATCTCGAAAATTAAACAAAAATATATCACATAATGCTATACGGAAGGAACAATTTTCGAAATTTGTAATATAAATAAATTCATTAATTTTTAATGAAAACAGGGTTTTAAATGCACGTAGGCATGTAAATGACACAAAAATTTGATATACATCTTTTTATTTTTAACTCTTTTCAGATCCAAAGACAAGTAACAAGTGCCATATTTTAGGATTAAATTGTCAATTAGGTTAACCCGGTAACATTTTTTACTTTAATTTATACTGATTCTGTCAATCGTTGCCGAAATGTCCATAAAAAGTCGGAAAGCCAGAAAGAAACAAATCTATATAAAAACTCTTATTTTATATTTTCATTGAATACATCTTTTTCTTTGCTGAAATCTATCTATATATATAAAATAGAAAAAAAATTGCCCTGAAAGTAACATAGGCTATATAAACTTTTAAAATTTCGCGTGGATGCGGAGTTATATCATCAATAGTAAACACACCTCAAAATTTCTGAACATGTAATATGCGTTTATCTTAAGAACGGTTACAGATACTGTTTTCAAAATTTGCCTGAATAACGAAGTTGTGAATACACACAATCCATACAAAAATGGGCTTGGTACGATCAACGAAAAATGCACTTTTTACTGCATTTTAAAAATCAGCATATTGAAAATTGAATATATTTTGTTTGTAGACTCTAAAAATGCTGAAAAGATTTGAGTGAGATTTTCACAGAACGTCATAACATGCCCTGGGAATAACATATGCTATATAAACTTCTATGATTTCCCGAGGATGCGTTGTTATAGCATCGAACGTAATCATAACTCAAAAATTATGAACATGTAATTTATGTATATCTTAAGTACGGTTACATATACCGACTTCAAACTATTGATAAGTAGCGTGAGTGTAAATACATATCATCCACACAACATGACCGCGGACAAGGGAAAATGCACACCTCATTGCATTTAAATCTATACGTGGAAAATAGAAAACATATTGTTTATGGACTTAAAAACCACTAAACAGATTTTACTAAAATGTTCATAGTAAGTCAAACGATTGGTTGACATTATAATTTTCCACTTTTGTCAGTTTGTGAAAACATGTTTTTTTTAACAAAATCAAACAAAATGTTATTTGGATTTCAAAAAAAAAAAAAAAAATTAAAGTGAGAAATGTAAATTTGAATTAAAAATTGTTTTATCATCTGGAAAAAAGTCAGAGACTGGGATACGCTAAATTCAGATACACCACTAATTTTTTTAAAAATACCATTTTGTGGAGGAGGTAACAGATGGAGGTGGTCGATTATGTAAAATTGATAAAAAGTATTGGCATTATAATTTTTGAATTGTTGTTACTTTGCGAAAAAAAATGAGTTTCAAGAAAAACAAAATTACCACTGTTACAGAATACAGCAAATTATTTAATAACTACTATACATCTACTACAACATGGACATTTCACACTTTTTTGTAGTGTTAATGCGAGCATATAAAAATACCAGGGTTTACCTAATTTTAAAATTAAATTTAGTAAATATTGCAGCCGTATATAGGATGCTAACTAATTGATCATATCTAAATTTTAATTTGATAACTTTAGCAGGGGCAGCGAAGCGCCACGGGTCCCGCTAGTTTGTATATATTCTACAATATTTGTTTATATATTTTTTACACAAATTATTCGTTTACTCAATAATTTTTACAAATTGTTACTAGTTAAAACAGAGCGAATTAACAGAGCAATATTTAATTCTTTTTACAAGGAAAAAAAGACAGGATATTTTTGAAGGCATTATATGTAGTATACATTTAATTTCGAATCAATAATAATAATTTCGGGAACGCAAATCTAGTAAATATGCCAAAATTAAATGGCAATACTTCAAAATGAACATAACAGCGAATTAGAATTAGGCATTCTTGTTTACCATTTTTACTCGGCCAAATTTCTCGAGTAAAAAGTTTAGAAAGAGAACGCCTTTTTAAAGAGAAAGCCTTTTTAAAAAAGTAAACATTTTCAATAATACTAATTTAGTATATGTTTTTGGTACTAGTTTTTATAATTATCATACAATAATAACCACGCATAAAGTTTTTATATCTGTTGAATAAGTACAGAGATATAGTGCTCTAAAAAGTCTCTCTCTCTCTCAATTTGAGAGTTTATTTCCTTGCCGTTACATAAATTTTATTATTCTTTCATATATACTTGGGATTTGCAAACAGCGGTGCAAATCCCAGATGGAATGTTAGCTACATCGTTGAAAATCCCCAAAAATTTACGGGGACACGATTTCAATTGTTTTATGATTTTGAACCGGTGTGCATTACATTAAAGACTTTTACGTTTGTATATATGTACATGAAGACTTCAGGGATAAGAAAATGCATTGACATAATTTTGATGTTGATATTTTGTAGTTGTGTTTGTAATTAATGGAAAGAGTGATGGTGGGCATGATTTCAGATCACTGGAACATCCGATTCCAAAAATTCCAACGGCATTCGAAGGAGTACATGGCTGGCTCTGGCGGACATATAAAATTGGTTTTTGAAACAAAAATATTATTTGACTAAAAACCATCTTAGATAATATGGATGATCTTGACCGATTACATTTATCCTAGTTAATTTAATAGCTAGTTAAAACTGATTGGATTGTTAGTTCCTGCCCGCCATTTGTAGAAAGGCAGTTTCGAGAAAACGTATTTAAAGTTTGAGAAGCACTTCTTGATGCTGACACAATAATTCGGTTCAAGTGATATTTTCACTTGAAATTTATACGAGACATTCTTGAATTAGTGTAGGTTCAAATTCCCTTAAAATCGCTTAAATAGCTAAAATGTATTAAACCATTAGAAATTTGCTTTTGTCGTAAAGTAAAAACCCTTCAACGCAGACGATGATATTTCAATACTATTAAAGCTTTGAAATATTTCTTGTATTTGATGAGACATTAAAATATTCAACAAAGTCGAATATTTCTG